CCTTCTGTGCTGACACTACAACACACACATCGGAGCGTTGCTATATGGGACCAGACGGTAATGAATCATCTGTCCTTTTATGAACTCATGCATGTGGTGTTTATATACTTTGTGTTATTAATTTCGGAACTACGAATTTTTATCAGGTTGATCCAGCGCAGCAGCTAGTTTGCAGGCACTACACCACCGGGTTTATGGTGGGATGGGTTATCGATCCACTCGTTCTGGAGTACGTCGAGTTTGCAGGCTTCGGTGGCATACATCGGACTGCGCTCGCGGAGAGGTGGAGACAGGAGACGCACTCCTTCCACCTACCTGTTGGGGAGGCGACCGTTACGTTGCGGGACGTCGCCGTACTGACGCGCCTTCCTGTACAAAGGACTGCGGTGACAGGACACGCGTTAGTCGATCCAGCTGGTTTGGTCGATCGGGTTCTCGGGGTTCGGCCAGGTGACGGCGATATCAGGGGGTCCGGGTTGAGGACCGCCTGGTTACGCGACACTTTCACTCAGCTACCTCAGGCCGTGGATGACGCCACGGTTCAGAGATACGCTCGGGCGTACTTGTTCTTCCTCGTCGGGCGTGCTGTTTGGGAACAAGAGCGGGAGCTATCTGCAGCTTCTTTACCTGCAGCTGTTAGACCACGATTGGGATCATATCCGTGGCTACAGCTGGGGTAGTGCCTGTTTGGCGACGTTGTATCGCCAGATGTGCAGAGCATCCCACCTTGGTTCTGGCGAGATCGGGGGTCCTTTGATAGTGCTTCAGGTAACTCACCTAATTAATTACCAGTAACCTATTTCGAAAGCCTATTACGTAGTTTATACTAAACCGAGTTTTGTATTGTTGTGTGCTAGTTTTGGGCTTGGGAGCATATACATGTAGGCAGACCAGGTAGGCCTGCGTACCATCGTCCGGGACAGAAGGACCGGGACGACCAGTACCAGGCGTACGATGCTCCACCGCTCCCTACACCTGACGAGGCGTACGGTTGCAGGTTCGGGTACCGTTGTCATTACTGTAGACTTCATTCATTTATTGTACTAGTTGATAACCTGGATCATTTTCCGGTATTAGGTGGGTGGTCCCTAGACTGACACATGCGCATGCCGCGAGGGGGCTTCCATACTACCGCGACGCCCTAAACCGCCTGACCGAGGACCAGGTAATAATTTAAAGATAAATGTAAACATTTTTGTAATGTGAATACTGTCTGCGACTAACCTTTTCTTGATATTACTATTGTTGTGTTATTGTAGATGACATGGGATCCGTATGTACCTGACTTGGTAGATTCCATGCCTGCACATCTGCTTGACCATGAGGCGGAGTGGCGCGCCAGGGTCCCCCTGATCTGTTTTGAGGTCGTGGAGAGTCACCTACCCGACCGAGACCTGAGGCTGTTTGGACTACGCCAGCCCATCCCCCAGCAGTGTGACACGAGCGTACGCCTTCACGGCGTTGACCGTCGGGGAAAGGGGGAGACCAGCTGGTTACTGGAGCATTGGCGTTACGTTGAGCTGTGGACGCAACGCCTTGAGTTCGTCGTTGGAGGTGATCCGATGGAGGGCGTTATGGATCCCACTGATCCATACATGGTGTGGTACAGGCGTATTACACGGCGTTTCATCAACCCCAGTTACACACCAGCATATGACGTCATTTACGGATATGTGAGTTTCTTTTATTCTACTTATTTTTATCAATTTTTAATTTCTATATCATACAATTTACTGATCGATGATTACTGCAGGCTGCGGATATGGCTGCGATGGTTGATGCACTGTCAATCACCCTCGTAGACGGACCCACCAGACCCCAGGTCCAGCGGGTACGCGATATGGGCGTGACTACCTTACAGAGATATGGTCACGACTATCTCGTCACCCAGCGGGACGACCATGATGGGCACTCGGTCCATTCACAGTTCGAGCTCGGCCAGAGTAGCTGTGCAGGTGATCTTACGTCACCCAGAGACGCAGAGGACTACGTCTTCCACAGTTCTGCGCCGACCCCTACCCAGGAGGGTCCATCGTCTAGCCAGCAGACTCCCCCACCGCCCCGAGAACCGTTTACCACCATTACACATTACAGGCGGCGGCGTGTCTGACGGAGGGCCGACACAGAGACAAAACCTTTACCCCGAATAAATGAGTCAGGATAGTATTAGGTCATTTACTTCCTGTAGCCCGATTTTGTAGAATGATGTACATAACACTTATATTCTTAATATAATGAATGTTTTTTGAATGAATCTGTGTGTGATGTGAAGTTTAATTTCCTTATTTGTCCAAATCGGACTTATGTCAGTCAAAATAGATGTTCCTAGGCTGATATATATAACAAACACAAGACATTTGAGCTCCATAATGAGAAACGGGGTAGAAGCGATGGCCCGTGGTGGTTACTTTGGTGGTTCACGGTGGTTGTAGTGCTGTTGGGGGTGTCGACAGTGGCGGGAGGTGGTGGTTGGTGGAGGTCGACGGTGGTGGGACGGTAAGGGTTGGTGGTGGTGGTGGTTGCAGTGTTGCGGGGGGTTTTTGGAGTGTTTTCAACGGTATAAGGGTGGTCGTAAGTGGCGGGAGGTGGTGGTTGGTGGTGGTCGACGGTGGTGGGACGGTAGGGGTTGGTGGTGGTGGTTGAGGGTGCTGGCTGTTTGAAGGCTGGGGGTGCTGCAGGTTGTTGGAGCATGTTGGTGGTGGTTGCTGCTGATTTGCTGTCTCCAGCAGAAAAACGCTGTCTGGGACAGCGCTTTATGTTTCAAACATAAAGCGTTGTCTCAGACAGCGTTTTATGTTCAACAAAAAAATTGAACATAAAACGTTGTCTCGGGCAGCGTTTTATGTTCAATTTGCATTTTTTATTTTTTTAATGGTAAAACGCTGTCTGGGATAGCGTTTTACCAACTGATTTTTTTTTAAAAAAAAATTCCAGGATAAAACGCTGTCCGAGACAGCGTTTTACCCTGGAAGCTTAGTTTGGTAAATAGTTTTGTCACGCGTCCAGTTTGGTAAATATTTACCAATTTTGGCTCACTTTGGTAAAACGTTCAAATATGTTTATCAATCATTTATTTCACTATTCCTTCAAAACAAACCTCATTACTCACTCATAAATTAGATAAAAAAAATGTATAAATAATCACTTCACCAAAATAGCTGCATTTTCAAACATAATAGCATCCTAATGCATGATCTGTGCACCCGGGTGCACCATGCTCATGGTGTACCCGGTTAAATAAAAAAAATAGGCGCAAAGAACATTTAGATGTTCAAAAAAGAACATGCAGGTTTTTGAAAAAGAACATGTTTGTGTTTAACAATGGACATGCATTATTAAAAAAATATAAAGACATTACAAAAAGAACGTGATAAAAACTTTATTAAAATTTATGAAAAATTACACATTAACGGAAAAAATCTATATCAAAGATATCATTTCCCCAAAAATAGTTTTCTTTCTCTCCAAAAATTCAACTTTCCATAATAATTTTAGTTTTCTCTCTCTAAAATATTTTCAACTAAAAAAAATTCAAGATTTCATTTTCAAATTAAATTTCAAATTTCAAAATTCAAAATAACATAGGTTAAAAGAACATAAGTTATAAGGTAAAAAACATATAATTCATACCCAAAGAACACATTGATCAAACTCAAAGAACATACGATAATAAAAAAAATGATATATGATAATAAAAAATAAAAAAAAAAAAAAGAATTTGTGCGTCACTCATTACCTCGAAGAACATACAAGCCAAATTCAAAGAACATACTTTATATTATTGAAACCCAAAAAACATGTTTAATCAACATATGTTAAAGAATATTAGTATAAAAGAACATATTATCAAACATATATAGGTATGTTCTTTGTCAAACACGATATGTTCTTTATCAAACAACCGTATGTTCTTTCCATCTTTCGGGTGCACCATGCACATGATGCACCCAAATGTACTATCCTATTTTCAATAGCATCCAAAGTTGACAATATATTGAGGAGTGGTTTCATGAGTGACCAACAAAATTTAACACGAGTCCTCTTGTTTTTCTCTTGGTCTTCCATTTTTCTCTACCTTGTTGACCTTGTTAACCACTAATATAGGGCATTTTGAGTAGATGGCTTTTGATCCTTGAGTTACAAAATTGGTTATCTAAGATGGTCCCAAAACCTATCTACCACGTGCATAGGCTACAACTTGTGCTTGTAAATAGGTTAGCTATTACTTCATTCGTTGCACCCATTTAAATCATGTAGACCCCCTCTTAACATTATTTGGATCATATCATATCTACTACTCTGACACTATATAAACATACATCTATCCCACGAATATTATAATATTACTTATCATCTAAGATTGTATTTTCTTTACCTTGAAAAAGGTTTCAAGGCTAATCATAATTGATCAACTCAATTAGATATAACATATGGTGACATCAGAACTAATTTGGCCTAATTAGGTCTAATAAGTGCATATGCATATATGTTATGATACCCTCCGCACAAGGTCGAGAATCACCTAAAACTTATTATATCTAATAAGTTGACCATGCTCGAGTTTAGAAGCAAAGGTTCATGAAGTTGCAATTTAATTTCCATGTACTAGTTTGTTAATTTGCTCAAGTCTATGTCATAAAAAAAGAACAAAAGAAAGAGCAAGCTTCATAGATTTGTTTGGAGTTTAATGGAAGCAACGAACAAAACTATACACATTCCCCATGCTCCCCCTTCCAAAAAAAATCTAATGTACTATCAATTCTTGTGGTTTACAAAAATGGGACCCTTTACCTTCAGTTTGCCTGTATTAGTGAATCCTAGATCTACTGAGGAAAGATGGTGGCCCATCATCCTTAATTGAAATTATTCTTACCATAAAAACAAAATTAGGTCAGCATGTCATATTCTCTTAATGATTTGACTATGTTAGGTTTACGAGGCATATAATTGAGGACGATAACAATGGATTATGTTTTTATGTTGGATATGATAATCGTAAATTAGTTTGTTTCACGTGGACTACAGAGTAATTAGGATTAGATTTTTACACGAAATATATTCGATTTACTAAAAGAATAAGATTGTTGCCCAGGCAATTTCTTAAAAAAAGAATCCCATATGACTTAATTATGTGGGACGATATCAATGGATTGTATAAGAAATCATACTTTGTTTTGCATGGATTAATGATATTCATAATATATATATTAGATTGAGTTTTAGACGACTTACATTTGATTTACTGAAAGGTTAATATAAGACGGTAGCCCATTTTATAACAAAGAGGCCCCACACTTGATCACTTGTTGTCTGATCAAGAAGCTAAGGTATGGCTAATGTGCCAATGATATATACTTATATATATAGCCCTTAATTAGAAGAATGGATACATAATTGAAGGTTCAAACCCTAGACAAACAATTATTTTAGTGCATTAACTCAACTTCCTCAATTACCCTATTGTAAATTAATTCTAAAGTTTCCTTGCATCTAGCTAGCATACTACAAGAGGATGTCCTAATAATAAAACTAGGCTCGTTAAACAGATTGTTCATGATCACTTTGAGAGACATGACTAATAGGTGATGCAGTTGGAACAACAGTTGCTGACATTTGTGATCTTGCTAGCTCATTGCTTTTGGCTGCTTCTCCTTCATTGTTGCTTGATTTTGGCAGGGTTAATTCTGTCTTTTTACCTGTACCACTACCCCATAGGAAGGCATACAAGCCCACTATTATCACCAACATACCTATCAAACTGCATTAGAAGTTAAAAAATGTTACTGAAGTTTTTTTTTTTTTTTTTCTTTTATTTTATTTTTTTACGTTTCATTGTACTATAAACTTTTTTCTTACAAAAAGTAACCACAAAAGCCAAATATAACTATTCGTAAAATTTTATAACTATGAAAGGGATCGTGATAACCACGTTTATCATAAGGTAGTATTTCTGCCCCTTATATTGGCATATATATAGTGTGACATAATCACATAAGAAAAGTCGTCGTTATATGAATTGAAATACGTGTATCACTATCCTATAAGACATGTCACAATTAATTGTATTATCACTATTTTTCTTAGGGTCCAAATTAAAAACATAAAAAGGAAAGGGGTCAAATTTTTACCTTCCACTTCTAAGTTCTTGACCAAGAGCTGAGACTTCTATGATGGCTACAAATATCAAAGTTAATGGATTAAACATGGCTGGAAAAGTGGCACCCTTGCTTTCAACTGCCCATGAGATTATGCAAAATGATGCTGCTGATGCCAATACTCCCTGAAAGTTATAAATAATTAATTAAAACTTGGTCTATCCATCACGTAAAATACCCACGTGTAATAAAGATTAGTGATAGTAGAATTCAACTCGAAACACAAATAAACATTTTTAAAAATTGTCTATTAGAAGTGGGTATTTAATATTTCCCAAGTGGGTAGATGTAGTTTACGGGACATCCAACATCCCCTAGCTAGGTTGGGACATACGAGAGATTGTTCATAAGAACGGAAGATTAATAATTAAGGTCTTTAGAAAGGGGAAAATTTTCAAGGTATATACCGAGTAAACAATTGTAACTAGTTGAAGGTTCCACCCTAGCTTCCATGCACTTGAACTTCTGTCTAAGATAACGCCAACAATTGCTCCTTGAATTGATGCTGATAAACATGTTAACATTGTTGCCCAATACTTTAGTGGAAACTCCCTTAGCAACTTTACCTGAAAAAAATACATCAATTTATTAGAAAGCCCAAAAAAATTGGACTAATACAAGTAACTTATTTATGAAGAAGGCCCATTGGGCCATTATCCTTGATCGAACTTGCTAATATACATGGGCTTGTAATATGGTTTATAATTTTATTTTTTATTTTTTTTTTAAATTTTACACTATGAAAAGTACCTGCACAATGAACCAGAGAGCGTAGGATAAAATACTTGCACAAAGTTTGATAGTGCCAATTTTGAAATCTGGCTTGATTATTTTGGCATCCTTAGTTGATTCATGACCGGCAACAAGTAAGCTTCCTCTGTATAGACTAATGATAATGGCTCCTGATAAACAGAAGATTGTTCCAATAACCCTAACATTTCCTCTGATGGTCTTCAAATTAAGTTTCTCCAATCTACATCATACGATCAAAGTCACATGCAATCTACATCATATGATCAAAGTCACGTGCAATGTGCCAATGTTCACTAAAAATCAAATTAAGTTTCTGAAATGGATCAATGCATGATATAGCTCACTAGAAATTAAAAATTACTTGCACTAACATGATCAGAAATGTTCAAAGTCACATGCAATGCTCACTTATTAAAGCATATTTATACATCATAATTAAGTTCATAACCATATTCTATTATCGTTTAATTTTGTTGAAAAAAGACATACTTAATAAGAGATCGGATCATAGTTTTGATCTAGATTAGTATGCTTTTGAAAAGTGATTAGTTCAAACAAAAAATAACTCAATGAGTGATTAATTAAGAGGTGTAGTCAATATTTGGTACCTTAAAATTGCTTTATCTTTTTAGAAGATTAAGTTGAGAACGTTTAAAATTTGCAAAAAGTAACGTACTTTAATACTATTAGCATGCATGCTTAAAGTATTAATATAATAAATGTGTGCAAATATCATGCATGTATAAAATAAGTTGTTGTAACTTTACCTTGTAATGAGGGAGAAGATAAAAGTAACTACAGGGATTAAGTTGAGGAAATTGGTGGCATATGTAGCTGTGGTGTCCCGAAGTCCATAATAGAACAATCCCATCCCCAAAGTTATCCTGCATATTGTACCACAAATTATATACGAAGTAATTAACACGTAAAATAATGCAAAACACATTTTAAATTGATCAATTAATCTAATGGAATTCTACACAAATACATCTTAACAAATTAATTATATATATTAAACCATCATTGTAATCTCGGATACACCAAAATCACTATTGTTGTCTTTTTAATTAGTCTACTTATATTTTATATATAAGTCTATCTTTAGGTTTATTTGGAAAAAAACGAATAAAAAGTTGTAGCATCTTGATTATTACTAGTGACAAAACATCTTATGTGTACCCTTGATAACAGATTACATTGCAGTTAATTGAGACTTGAATTTAAAATAAAAAGGCAGCATATTATGAGAAATGCGAAGTAGGACAGCATTATATTGTGAATTGACATTCTAATTGTTTACGTCAAAGAGAAAAAAAAAAAAAAAAAAAAAACAGAAATTCTAATTGTTAGTAATAACAACACATATGGAACAGAAGGTATATTCTTAGTCATTTCATGACGTAATACTTTAAACGAACCAAATTACTAGTAGATGTTTTTTGGTTATACTAAGTAGAATGAGAATATTAAGAAACAATCATGAGTCTACTACATTTTTGACCGAATTATTTAGCATTTAGCACAAATGCACAAGCCACTCAAAGAATTAATACCTAGCCAAGATCACTGCTTCAATAGTACTGATGATATATATGCTATTCTTTATTTGCAAAATTGAAATTAAAAATCAAATTCCATTTTAATCTAAAATTAACATTGGTATTATCTATCAAGATGAATAGAATATGCATGAGAGTGTAAGCGAGTACCATTTGTTCACCTAATGTAGGCCAAATTTTAACGTTTATTGATAAGTTTTAGTATTATTTAGTGATTGCATAAAGTACAACATGCATCGAGAATTTGTGAATTATGCTAGGCCGTAGGATAGACAATACTTATTACATTAATTACTCCCGAAATTTTTCCTTTGTTTCATAATAGTTAACAATTATTACATAGAAGTTGCACTAATAATATCTTTAAGCATTGTCTATCAATAATTGATGAAATAAAAGTTACGAGTAAACCTCATGTGATATTAAAGGTTCATTCCCCATTTCCCCGTACTCTAAACATAGAAGAAGAGGGGAAAACTCAAAAAGTCATAAAGCTAACATGTCCAATAAAATTAATCAACCTATTTTTTTTGTTTGAGAATCAAAAGAAAATAAAAAAATAAAAAAAATTTGATTAGTTGGAAAGAGAAATATAACGTGTCGCATATGATTTTTTAAGGGAATGTCCTTTATCCTTGCCAATTGCCAAGTGCCCTACTACCCTAATTAACGTAAATCACTTGGGTACCTTATGCTAAATTCTTGGGTTGGTTGCCTATAATATTTCAATTGTGACTGAAAAAATGTTTATGGTAAAATGGGTCAAAGAAAATGGCCACATTTTTTTTGGTTAATTTTATTTTTAATTTGGTATTTACTCATTTATAACAATGACAAATATTGTAATAACTCTTTTTCAAAAAAAAAAAAAACTATTGCAATAACTCTGTCTCTTCCTTATTGTCTTATTTTCATTTTGCAAAATATTTTTACTTTTAATTTTCTTTCGAGTCTCACATTTATCCAATATTCTTTTCCACTTGTATAAAATATTGTACTTATATTATACGGAATTACGGAGTAACAAACTAACGATGGAATGTAATTACAACATTTCCCAATTTATGGTAAAATTAAAGAAAGTTGGTGTATGTGGAGCTGATTACCCGGATAAAGAACTCAAAAAGACCCAAACTCCCGCCATCAAGGTTAACTTTATGTTACTTCCCCTGCAATCACAAAAATAAATTTAAATTATTTATTAACATTAATAAAATGCATGTTTCAATTGTGGATAATTTTACTATTATTATATAGGCTTACTTTAATGATGTTAGTTTTAGACTTTTAGTCAACACGATAAAAAATAAATAAAAAATACTATGTAATAAGTTGAGCTTTAACGTTGGAGAAAAAGTTAAGACCGGACTGATTTTGGTACGTCGACAATGTTTTCTTCCGAATTCTAATTGACATTGCAAAATCACAAAGATGGGATGCAATTGTAATGTTATCACCTTCCAATCCCAAAATTTGTACTTCTAATAAATTAAGAAAAGTATCAATAATAAATGTCATACATATTTGACATTTGCAATATTGATACTATGATCATATGTATTAAATGTATTCCTTTCTATAGTTCTCATTTCCATATCGGAAATTCATACGTAGTAATTAATACAGTTCATTGACAACTAATCAGTCAAAACAAACAAACAAAATTAAAATCCCATAATTTCTCTGTTCATGCCACCTTTCATCCCATATATTTTCAAATTTAGAAATGAAAAATGAACTTCCTTACTAGGAGGATTCCTTCTAACATGTAATTACAACATGTAACGCGTCTAAAACTTTTTTTTAAAATAAAAAAAATTGATCTTTACTTGAAATTTGCACTAGAGTTGCACCCAAAAAAAAATCATTAAAGTTGCACCCAAAATAATTTATAATAATTGCATTAAAGAAGAAAACATAAACAAGAAATGAATTAGATTGAATTAATATAAAATAGGGGGTTAAAAAAGAATACCTTTCAAGATAGTATGCAAAAGGGAAAATGCAAATGGCAGCAAGAAGATGGCGATACGCAATAAGAGCAAAAATGAAAATTCCTTGCGTTAATATCATTTTTGAAAGAATTTGCAACCCGGTTGATACCAATTGCACCATCAACATACCAAATATCGGACCCGAACCCGAACCCAAACCCAAACCTGAAATCATTTTCATCGTTGCTCTGTTTTTTTTTTTCCTTCTATATATTTTACTCTGTTTTCTCTCTCTATTTTTCAAAGAGGAAAAAGAGAGAAAAGCATTTACTTCTCTAACTAGCAATAGCTTCACTCTTTATATAGAGGAAAGGGGGTTATTCGGGCAGTAAGTAGAGAATTAGAGAATTTTAGTATCGAAATAATTTAAGAAAATAAAATAAAAGGAGTCAAAAAACCTTGACAGAAAGATTATTTGAGGACAAATTAAATAAAGGACAATTAAAACACGGATTTGGCTATATGTCAGGAAAGAAAGAGTGTAATTTAAAGCAAGATTTTAAATTAGTGATTTCCAAAATTATAAAAGTTTTCCATGTATGTTTTTATGTGCGTATATATATGCATAAAAACATGTTAGGGTGTGTACCATTTTACTAGGGTTCGTGAATGTGTTCATATTTATAAAGGCCTATTGTATGCTTAATGTGCATAGTCACTATCTTTATTAATTACTTTCCTATGTTTAACAAATCATACACGAGCTTTTTATGGACCTTTTTTTCATCCCCGCAAATCTCACCCAACAAAATTTTTATTTTAAAAAAAAAGTCCCAAAAAAAAATATAAAGTTACCACGTGGTGGTTTTTTATATTATGATTGATATATTGCTATTTTCCTTGATTGATTTTGCAACATTTTTAGTTGTTTGACTAGATTTTTCAGTATCATTTAAGTGTGCAAGTTTCTCTCACACAATTTCCTATATAAAGGTTAGTAAGGTTTTGGTAAAATTATACTTTTAATTTTAATAATTATGTTTCATTGGTAGCAATTAGATTCACACTTGATGATTTATTAATAATAGTAGTTGTTTAGTACTTTAACATGGGAGTTACTAAGCCCCACCACTTTTAAGGTTTTATTGGTCGAAGGATGACTTTAAGAAATTTGCAAAGTACAACGAGTAAAAGTATTAATTTTACGGATTATAACTTTTTAACACTTATTTTACAAATTAACTTAAATACACACCCAAACTTTAAAATAATTACAATAAAGGTATTATAATTTTGAAAGAAGACTATTCTAATTTTTTATTACCCATTTTTAGGAAAAAAAAAAAAAAAAAACAAATTTATTACAGCATGTATTACTTTTGGTCACATTTCAATATTTCATGGCTATTCTTGAAATGTTTGAAGATTGTTCATTGTTGAGAGGTACAGTTGTTATAACCAAGCATAATACGGAGTAATTACTGCTCGTATGATTGAGCGATCGTATCACATAAAGTTCAGATTGAATTACTTAGTTATTTTTTTATTTTTATTTTTTGGAAATATGTCATAATAGATATTTCACATGGCATAAAAAAAAAATGCATAACTATATGGAGTACTGCGATAAATTGGCATTAGTTTCCCTATAATGATAAGGTGTTAGTCGATGTTACGCATAACAGCCAGATATATATGAAGTATATTTCAAGCCAGCAATGGTAATACCCTAAGATTCCCTTGTAACTTAAGAATTTCAATCCCAACCTCTCCCACTAAATTATTCTATGCTACTAATGTTACAGAGTACATCTTAAAAAATTGTGATCTTATTATGTAGTCTAGTTTCCCAAATAAAGTATGCATTTACCTTGAGAAATATTTAATTGGAATTTACTTTAGATATTTGCACTTTGCAGTGAATTAGCATTTCAATGTGAAAGTAAAATAATACCATAGCCCAAAAAGTGTGACAAAATGGTTCAATCCAAGAGAAAAAAGTTTATTAGCCAAATAGTCCACTATTAAACCAATTTTTTTGGGCTTCAAATTAGCATCCATACTAGTGTAATTAGTGCTTAGAAATACATGTAAAGACTATGATTACTTGGATATTCTGCATCTAATAATCTACATTATACACGAAAGTTAGAGAAGACTTCCTAGTTCTATCTCTAACCAGACTAACTTTCATGTATCTTTCCTTTTTATATAAGTGGGTGTACATACATGTGTTTACATATTATACATGTGTTTGACTACACTATAATTCATTTAGGATTTGTAATCTTAGCATTTTATGGTATGGCTGGTTTGCCACTTTCATTATCACCACATTACTGCCATGAATCCATGATAGGCCATCCGCTACCTTCGGCGTTATATTTTATCCGTTCTACAATAATTGACACATTTGACTTTTTTTTATCAACTTTAACCATCTTTTATTGCTATTATGATAGTGTTTGGCGAATATATAATAGATGTTAATTGAGCCTCTTGATCCTTACAACAACTTGAACATACAAGAAATCAGTGACATATTCCACACGTCGGAAGAGAGCGTGCCTCCATGTCCTGCTGTACAACAAACTTCCTACGACTCCCCAAAATCCAGTTGCAAAGCCGAGCATTACAACGATGTAGAACATCACCTTTTCAAGGGTGCTTTCTACCTCTTCCTCTTCTTCATCTGGTTGATGTTGTCTTCCATGTTTGCCTCCGCATTTGTTTGGCAATGGATCTCCACGTAATCCTGCATTGTGTCCATAAATGGATGGATCATTGAGAGTTTGGAGCTGATTTCCCGTAGGTATCTCTCCATGAACACTACACGAAAAGAGCAAATTGACAACGGTTCAAACCCCCCCAAAGGCAACGGTTTTGAACCGTTGCGTATTTGAAGGTTGCCAAATTCCAAAATAATTGGCAACGGTTCAAAACCGTTGCCAACTCAAGCAATTGGCAACGATTAACCGTTGCCATTGAACATGGCGCCCTTTTTTTTTGTTTTTAAAAATAATTGGCAACGGTTAACCGTTGCTAATTGCTTGAGTTGGCAACGGTTAACCGTTGCCAAATACAATGGCGCCCTTTTTTTAAAAAAATATTGGCAACGGTTAACCATTGCCATTGACCTGTTTTTTTGTTTTTTTTTTTGCTGCAATATTATTAATATTATAATATTAATATTAATAATAATAATTAATATTATTATAATATTAATATTAATGATAATAATTATTAATATTATAATAGTAATAATAATAATTATTATTATGATAATAGTAACAATAATTAGTATTATTAATAATAAAATATAAATAATAATAACAATCGCAAGAGATGATATATATATATATATATATGAAAAATGTTTCATGTTACCTACAAACAATTTTAATTAGTTATAATAATGTATAGTACATAATTAGTAAGCCAAGGCTAGAATTGATGAAGTAGCTAGCTAGTAAACGATATTTACAAATTAAATGTGATGTAGGTCGCCAACATCTCTCGAATTACATGGAGTTCCTCGCTCGTGTATGGCTGTCCCGTTTGCCCCTTGCAAAACTTAGAATACACAAAACGTGAGTTAGTAGAAGTGAATTAATAATAATTGGGGTTAGTTAGTAGTAATGACCCGAACAAAACTTGGAATAATACACAAAACGTAAGTGAACTCATACTTAGCTTACTCATAATAATAACATGACATTATTACTTAGTTATATGTGACTAAGGAATAAAATTACAAGAAAATAGCAAGTAAGAGGTTTTGGGACGCAATTTCAACCAAAATGGCTCAAGTAAGGCCATTTTGGCTACTAGGATGCCTATTTTCTATATTTCTTGTCTATTGAACTCATAACTAGTTAAAACATGTCATAATCACTTAGTTATAGGTGCCTAATGCTTGAGATTACAAGAAAAGAGCAAGTAAGAGGTTTTGGGACGCAATTTCAACCAAAATGGCTCAAGTAAGGCCATTTTGGCTACTAGGATGCCTATTTTCTATATTTCTTGTCTATTGAACTCATAACTAGTTAAAAAATGTCATAATCACTTAGTTATAGGTGTCTAATGCTTGAGATTACAAGAAAAGAGCAAGTAAGAGGTTTTGGGACGCAATTTCAACCAAAATGGCTCAAGTAAGGCCATTTTGGCTACTAGGATGCCTATTTTCTATATTTCTTGTCTATTGAACTCATAACTAGTTAAAATATGTCATAATCACTTATTTATAGGTGCCTAATACTTTAGATTACAAGAAAAGAGCAAGTAAGAGGTTTTGGGACGCACTTTCAACCAAAATGGCTCAAGTAAGGCCATTTTGGCTACTAGGATGCCTATTTTCTATATTTCTTGTCTATTGAACTCATAACTAGTTAAAACATGTCATAATCACTTAGTTATAGGTGCCTAATTATTGAGATTACAAGAAAAGAGCAAGTAAGAGGTTTTGGGACGCAATTTCAACCAAAATGGCTCAAGTAAGGTCATTTTGGCTAGTAGGATGCCTTTTTTCTATATTTCTTGTCTATTGATATTATAACTAGTTAAAACATGTAATAATCACTTAGTTATAGGTTCCTAATGCTTGAGATTACAAAAAAAGAGCAAGTAAGAGGTTTAGGGACGCAATTTCAACCAAAATGGCATACCTCTTCAAGCTGACGTGTGTCTGTACAATGACTCATCACTATGTCATACATGAATCTCATCACGTATAGGCCACAGTCAACTCCGTTTTGCTGTTGTGCGCACTAGCATGAGGAACAAAGCACATGAATCAAAATGCATAGCAAATAAGCAACATCTTAAGCATTGTAAAGTAAGAAAATCACAACATCATGGGTGAATTACCTTGGGTGCTTTCCGTGTAGGACCTCGAGGAGATCGAGGATTTATCTTCTTCATGTTACTACAAAAAATCAAAGTAATAAGTTCAAATTTGATTCAAGTATAATCAATACATATGAGTTAAGATATGAAAATCAATAACAAGAATTGAAACAAACTAGATACTTACTTTTGTAGTATGGACCTCACGAGACGCTTTCTTACTTGAGGTAACTGAGCAGAATCAAAGTAGAAGATTGTGTTACTGGAAACACAAATCACAAGTAGGGTCCAATGATAACTACACACGAGACAAACAAATCAATAGTTAGCCTATTACAACAAATAAACTGGGAAAACAAATGAGCTTGACTAGCATAATCAGGCGTACTTCTCATTATACGGGACGAATATAAACTTGTCTCCCGCACTCACTGATTGCCTGATACCCCGTTCACCATAGTACAACACGTCAGCGGAGTTGCCTAAGATTCTAGCAGTGGGCATCTGCTCAGGGC